TATATATATATATATATATATATTAGTCAGAAATAGCTAAACGAGCCAGGTCAAACAAAGGTCAGGGGGACAGAGACCTTATCTGCGTCAGTGAGTGACGGTGTCACTGTCACGGTAGGGCCAATCATAATTAGGAATTATTTTATTTTAGTGCCATAGTGCTCTATATCAGCATCACAAGTTATTGATACTGGATCCTGGATGAAACATGCATAGATTAGATGTCGTTAATAAACTAAAACTGGAAACAGACCACACTGCTCGCAATCCTCTCTCTAGACTGACTCCATACGTCCCTTCTTAACCAGTCGAGCCAGCAACGGAGACGTTTGAGCACCATCTAGCCTCAATTCAATGAATCGGCCAGAGATCAACACAACAGTCAACACTGTCAACAGTCAACTTTCCTACGGCCGGATAATTTTACCTGTACTAATGAGTTGACACGATCACAAGGCGTTCTAGAATCGTCGGATGAGCTTACCGTGCGATATCTTAGTGTCCTTCTGACCGCAATAACCGCAGCGGTGACCTTCCGTCACACCAAAATACTCAACGATACTAGCTCGCGCCATTTTCGGCGTTGCTCATGTGTTTTGATTTCACCGGTGCACGACGGGTAACATTCGTGTTAGACTGGTAACCGGTCCCACCTCTCGGCTTAGTTACTCGATGGGTTACTCAAGTTACTCGATCCCATCGAGTAATCGAGGTGGGAGCGAGTACCAGTCTACATCCGTGCACTGCTACAGCATGGCTACGGATTTCGCAAGATAGAGATCGTAGTAACGCTAACAGTGTCAGTAACATATTTTTAATGTTTAAAATTAAATCGTTAATTTGCAGCTAGGATGAGTAATAAACAGAAGGCTCACCGAACGAAAGGGAATGTCAGGGTAAGGCGTTGTTTACATCGCTACAACTACAAGTATTGGAGTAACTTCCACGCCACAATCCCACTCGGCACTCCAACATGTGGCGTCCGATTAACTTCCGTAGTGCTATATCATGGCGTAGGCCGTAGGCCTAACACTTCCGTAGTGCTATGGCGCAGGGCCGAAGCCTAGTTGGTTCAAGGATAGAGAACATGGGTCCCAATAAAACCAATGTAATTTACATCAATATAAATATAATATTACATCAATATAATAGGTTAGGGTTATGGTTAGAACTTAGGGTTAGGATTAGGGTTAGGGTTAGAATTAGTGTTAGAATTAGGGTTAGAGTTAGGTTTAGGCACATTGGTTTTATTGGGACCCATGTTCTCTATCCTTGGGCCGCCTAGTTTACCACCCTGGATTAGTTTAAAGGGACAGTAGCCTCTAGGATTTTACTGCATACAACTGTACTTACTGTATAACAAATCGTCTATACCCACATGTATTTGTCACCAGATACTTAATTAATTATTTACACATCAACGCTACGAAATTTGAACGGCGCCATGACACCCGCGACCGTGCTGCCACCCTGAAAAAGCTGCGCATTTGCGTTTTTATTTTGCATGTAAATGACCGAGGGCTAATCACAAAAGTGCAATTTATACCTAAATGCTATTTAACCGAACGATATTCATTTTAGGGCAAATTTATCCATATTATAACTGAAACTATATGTCGTTTATAAGATACTAGCAGAAAGTATACCCGTAGAACCAGCAAATGTTGTCTTTATTTTTAAATTAAAAACTCCATGTAAGTGACACAGATAAAGTTAAATATTTCATGTAACTGAAAAGAAAACCACTGCACTGGGTACAACAGAACACTGGCACAGCTACTGGCCACTGACTACTGTGTCAGTACGGTGTACGTCAAAGCAGAGTGAGCAGGGGGGAATCTGCAGTAGGGGGGGATCTGAGACGTAGCACCATCTATTGAGGAATAGATTTTTGTTTGAGCCAGAACCAGACGTGGTGATTCTGAATATATCTTCAGTTAGCGCGATTGAGTGACAAATCAGGGCGAAAAGCGAACACAAACAAACACACACACACACACACACACACAAGATTAGCCAAATTATAGTATAGATTACAATCCTTTTGCTTTTAAATGAATAAATAAGAAATACCCTCGGTCTGTAGCCCTTGGCTGGAAAGTGGTTTTGCGCAACTTCTCAGATCGGGCGCTTTGAGTGGCGCCACCGTCGTTGTAATCAAACTGTAGTCGTTAGTTTTAAAACATTTAAAAAAAATATTTCTAATGGTGATTGAACCATGAAACTTTTTATGTAGCGCAATTATAACCTAAATTAGCTGAAAATAACCCTAGAACCTAGAGGCTACTGTTCCTTTAACTTCAACACATATGTAAAAATATATTTGCAGGGTCCCAAACAGTCATTGTCAAACTATCCTTGATCCGGGCGCAGTTATTTTACTCAATACTACTACTACTGAGTACTACTACTAGTACTAGCAGTAGTAGTAGTTACGACTTACGCCGGTGCCGTACGATACATTACGGTGAAACTTGGTTTAAAACTACGATAATCACACTGTATCCACGAAAACTCCGACCTATTGGTCGTCACACTGCAGATCTTACCTATGATATTAATATGCCCGTACTATGCTGCCCCCTGGTGATATAATACTAGCTACGTTTCCATCGTCGCACAGCCGTCTAGCAGCGGCCGAGCCGCGGAGCTTCTGTCGGCAGGTGGCGCCACCGTCGGCTTTGTCGGATTCCAGGCGCTGTCGGGCGACCTCGGATACGTGCCAACAGGTGGCGCCGCCGAGGATGTGGGATCGACCGTTGACTCGGACTTCCGGATGGTGATGAGGAAGACGGCAAAGCGAGATGTGACGACGAAGATCAAGGTACTTAGGAGAGAGAGGAAGGGTGAGGGAGCCAAGCCAGAGAGAGAGAGAGCGAGAGGGAAAGAGAGACAGAGAGAGAGAGAGAGAGATAGAAAGAGAGAGAGTGAAAGGGAAAGAGGAAGGCAGAGAGATTGAGAGAGAAAGAGAGAGAGAGATAGAGAGAGAGACAGAGAAAGACACATATGGAGAGATAGAGACAGTGAGACAAGGAGACAAGGAGACAGACAGACAGACAGACAGACAGAGAGAGAGAGAGAGAGAGAGAGAGTGCGCGGACTGCGCGCTATCGAGAGAGAGATCGAATCAGAGAGAAAAACGGTATTCGTAGACTCACAAATACTTCGTCTTGCAGGCATTACAGGAATTTGCGGAGCTGTGTCGTGAGAAGAGCGAGGAGGACGTAAAGGGGGCGCTACCGTTCTGGCCTAGAATCTACAACAAACTCGCAATGGTAAGCGACAGCGGCCAGTCATTGTTGCTGCAAACGAGGCGTCGACGACGTAACGGCAATGTCCAGACTGCATTCAGTATTTAGTATATGTCATTGATAGATAGTATTTAGTATGTTACAGGGTAAAATTTATTTTTCGGGGGCTACTTTTCAAGCTCGCGTGCAAAATTTGGATTGCATTGAACTCTATGCAAATTTCCGGGGGCTCTTTTTGCCATTTCTGGGGCTCTTTTTGGCATTTCGGGGGCTAAATCGCCCCGAGCCCCCGTGTATTTTTTTCACTGGTATGTTATATATTTATGATATATTCTAGTATAATATTTAATATGTTATCAATTGTAATTGTGAACCAGCCAAGTCGAGTATTGTGTATTTAAGAGTTGTATTTATGTAATTATTGTCTGGAGTAATTGTAAGCGAGTACGTTCGCAATCGAAGTGTTGCTTCTCTGTCTCCTCTCTTTCTTTTCTGTGTCTGTCCATCTTCCTCTTTCTATCTCTCTCCCTCTCTCTCTCTCTCTCTCTCTCTCTCTCTCTCGCTCTCCATCTCTCTGTTCTCTGCTTCACTCTCTAACGTCTCGATCTTACTCTTCTCTTAAAAAGTTCTTCGATCTTCTCGAGAGTTACACTATCGAGAAAGTTGTTGCAACTACGGACGCGAAACGTTGTTGCAAACGTGGCACGCCGCGAAAGTTGTTGCATATTTACGACCCGAAATTTCGCACACGGTTAACGGACCGCAGCAAAGTTTGTTGCAGAAGTTACGACGTAAAGGTTGTCGCAACGTTACGACGCTAAAATGTCGCTACAGCGTTACGACGCGAAGTTGTGCATCATGTACGGAACGCATCCTAAGTTGTTGCAACGTTACGATGCTGAAAGTTGTTGCAACAGGCGAAAGTTGTATGCAACGTTACGACGCGAAAGTCTGTTGCAGGACGTTACGATGGCGAAGGTGTGTGGGCATCCACGTACGTCCCGGACGCACAAGTTGTTGCATAACGTTTACGGATCGGAAAGTTGTTGCAAGGTCTCTAGCGTCACCGCCTAAAATGTCGTGTTGCAATATTTACGATCGCGAAGCTTGTTGTCCACATCTTAGCGCGCGACAAGTTTGTTGCAGAGACGTGTTAGCGCACATCGACCCCAAAGTTGTCGGCAATGGTTACGACGTCTTCTCCAAACGTTGATTGCACACCGTTACGGACGGTGTCTCCCCCCTCTCCTATCTCTCTCGGCGAAGTTTCTGTCGCATACGTTAACGGACTCCTTCGACACGTTGCCTCCTCGTCCAACATTCCACGGCCGAAAGTTTGTCGGCAAGCGTACGTACCGTCAGCCCGAATACGTTGTTGCTATCACACGTTACGACGCGAAAAGTTCGTTGCACACACTTTAAGAAGCCCCTCGTATGAACAGTACTGTCGCAACCACAAAATAATACTTGCTCTCTACAAGTATGTCTCTGCAGCGTCTACGGAAAAATCCCTAGAGAGCCTGCTCGCACAACGCATAATCACCTGTACACGAAAGTGAAATCCTCAACGTCCCACGACGGTTGTACACACGTTGGTCGCTATTTCACGCCAGGCACCACGACACGCGAACGTGGTAGCGGCTTGTGAAGCAGCGTTTTAGCGACGAGAACGTTGGCGCAAATGGTTACCAAAACGACGGCCGCTTCAAAGGACTTGTTTGCATACGTTACAGACGCTTACAAAGTTGTACCGCAACGTTCGACGCGAACGTTTTTGGCAACAGTTACGATGCAAAGTCTGTTGTCAGACGTACGAAGCGAAAGTTTGTTGCAACAACACGGGCGAGAGTTGTGTGCAACGTCACGGCGGCCAAAAGGTCTGTTGCCATGTTACGACCGCGAATAGTTGTCGCAACGTTTACGACGACGAAAAGTTTGTTTGCAACGTTACGACGTGAAAGTGTCAGTAAACCGTTGACGCACGCGAAAGTGTTGGCAGACGTTACGTACGGTCAAGAGTTGTTGCAAATCGTTACGAACTGCGAAAGTTGTTGCGAACATGGCGCGAAGATGTTTGCATACGTTACGTACGCGAAAAGTTGTTGCAACGTTACGGCTGCGAAATTGTTGCATACGTTTACGACGCGAAAGTCTGCCTTGCAGACTTCAACACGGCGAACAGTTTTGCAAAGGTTACGACGCGAAAGTTGTCGCATACGTCAGGCGCGAAAGGTGTTCGTAACGTAGCGACGTGAAAGTGTCGCAACGTTACGACGTGAAAGTCTCGGCAACGTTACGACCCAAAAGTGTCACAATCGTTACGTGACGCGAAAGTTGTCGCAAAGTACGATGCAAAGTTGTTGTAACATTACGACACGAAAGTTGTTGCACGTTTACGGCCCCAGGGGAAGGTCGTCGCCCTAGCCAACCCCTGGCGCCGCAGTTATGACTCCGAAAACGTTGTCGCAAAGCGTACGACGGCAAAGTTCTGCGCAACGTTACGACACGAAATGTGTTGCAGACTTGCGCCGCCGACAAGTTGTTGCAACGTTACGTACGTGAAAGTTGTTCTACCATAGGTGTACACGCTAAAAGTTGTCGCAACGTTAGACTTAGTAATCAGCGGGGGTAGAAGTTATCGCAACGTTACGACAGCAGCAATTGTCGGCAACATTTACATCTCGAAAGTTGTTGCAAACATACGGCATGCGAAGTTGTTGCAGACGTTACGACGCGAAGAGTTGTCGCAACGTTATCAGCGAAAAGTGTTGCAGACGTACTGACGCCAAAGTTGTTTGCAACGTTAGCGATGGAAAGTGTGTGCGAACATCGCCGTTGGTCCGCACGCAATCATGCCCGCGCAAATGGTGGCTGGCGAGTGCGAAGCAGGCACTGGCGCGCCGTCGCGCAGGCGCCTGGCGTCGAGTGAGCGGTCGTTCGCCTGGCGTACCGGTTGCGCATCCGGAGCCGTGTCTATATTGCTCTGCAGAATGCCTCAGCGTGAGTAGCAGGCTCGAATATACCGAGGGCACCTGACGGCAATTGACGTCGGTGCCCTATCAATTGCGCGTAATGGGCCACCTCGCCAAATCCAACTTTGACCTGACGGCAGTCACCTCCTTGACCTTTTTGTGTAATTGCCGTCGGTGCCATTTAATCTACTGCCCGGTAGTTTCGGTGTTTTAGTCGAATATACATAACAGTGCGGCGTGCGTGCGTATACGTTCAATGATGAGCTTGAAACGAGTATAGTCGTATAATTATTCACAAGGGTCCTGATAGCCGCGGCATTGTAAAATTCTGTTACTGTAATGCTCCCCCATTAGGCTCAAGAGGGGGTACAGGGGCTCCGCAGTGTTACGGTTTAAGCTTTACATGGGGCATATGTTTTGTACATTAACAAGAAGCGATGTGAATGTACTAATTATGGTTTATGAGTTTTCCTTTATTTTACAAAAGTGGCCTGGGCACGCTTCTCAAATTTGGAGAGAGTTGCCTTCGGTGCCTTTTAAATTGCTCTGTGCCGCTCCATTTTAGAGAAAATGTAATGGCGATTCTCACGTGCCGCAAAAAAATTCGGCCTTGCCCGTTGTCGTTCGCTTAATTCGAGCCCTGGTGAGCTAAGACTCCTGCTAGTAATACACGAATTATACTTTTGAAGACATACAGGGAGTCGCAGCGGACTCCCTGCCCTTCAAAAGAGGGCAGTCCGACAGCAAAATGAGGGAGTCGCGGCAGTCGAAGTATCAGAACTAAAGATTATTAAACATAATCGCGCAGCCCCCTCCCTACGTTGCGCAACACACCCGCCGCCATCCCGTTTCAATCCGTTGCCGCCACTTTAAATTACCTCCGCCCGCGATTAACTTCCACCAGCAATATAAGATTTGACAGCCACGGGAATCGAGATCGGCATATTGTTTGCTATGACGAGAGATTTCGCGTGCCGGTACCTGGCGTCACGCGCCTGGGAACTCGGCTATCTTCGAAGTTGAATGCATAACAGCCTGCTGATGTTTGCGCATGGTCATACTTCCATTCTACACATATCATCCGCGAACATTGATTTTCGTATATCAAGGAATGAGCAAAAACCCTAACCTAACCCTACACCGCTAACACTAACACAAACCGATCGGTTATCTATATTATGATGGGAAACGGCTGAATTTTCATAATCGAATATGTTCCCTTATAGCCGATCGATAATCGATTAAGCAACGGATAATCGTTAATAATAGCATAGATTAATTTATCCTTAGCTCTTGTACATACATTGATTACATAGCATTCAATATTATAATGTTTATGATCATGTAGGCCTATTAACTCTGTGAAGTTCTGTATTGTATATCAGTCTGTTTCCCTATTACCAGCTATTAATCAATTTAAAAAGAAATGGTCTTAAATGCTTTGTTAAAACATTAAAATTTTAAACAAACATGATCAACGACATTTCTTTATTATAGTATAATTTGTTTGTGTTCTAATAGTGTAGGGCTGTGTAGCCGAGTTACATGTCTGCGCAATCGGAATATCCTCTCCAAAATAATGTAACAATAAAATAATACGCGAGAGTAGAATCTTGCATCTACGGATAACATCTGTGGGACAGTGTCAAACCAAAACAAAGACACTGTCCAATTTGTCCATGTCTATAAGTACACTAGTACCACTCTGCAATCAGACAGGACCTATGTTAACAGTGATTCATGAAGGTGTCCTCTGGACTACACACTGATGCACTTCTACTTCGCTACCAATACATGTCCATGTTGCGATTTAGTAATTTTAAAAAAAAAATATTTGTTTTCATAATCGATTATCGAATTTGAGACTATAATCGATTGATTTTCGATTATAATCGATCATCGGGACATCACTATCTTATATACGCGTGTTATAGTGCCAAACACTATCTATGGTGTATAGATAGCCACTGACGTCACATTGACGTACACTGACGTCACGCGAATACTCTGTTTCATGGAAACATGCCCACCGGGAAGTAGTTTCCCCCCTCCCCCTCCCCCTGTTTCAATTTCATCCTGGGGAGAACCCTGATGCGTGTGCTTATTTTGATGATTTGTGCGGTTTCATGTCTGCCAAAATGTCTTTGGACATTTGCTGACAAAAATACGGCAATTCTGCGAGGCCGTGCTCTGGAAGAAACTAGTTAGTATTAGGCCTGTAACGATACACAAGCCTCTCAATTCGATCTGGTTCTCGATATTAGCCTCTCGATTCGATTCCCAGAATATTAAAATGTTATCTTATTTTTTATATTTTCATTGTTTTGCAATAATAAATTATTAGAAATTGCCAATGAATACTAAATGGTGAATAGACAAGAGAGTCTAGAGAGTATATATACACTGCACAGTTGCTGAGTAACATTGGTGAGTAACACTCCACAGTATATAGCGTAGCGCCGCCATCTATTGGAGGAAAAAAGTGGTATCGAAGTGGAACCGAAAATACGGGGAAAAATATCGAGGATCGGATCGAGGGAAGAGAATCACGATCCGATTCGATTTCGGTGGATCGTTACAGCCCTAGTTAGTATAGCAAAATTTTCAGGGAGTCACACGGACTCCTGCATAATTATGTCAAATCAGGGAGTCCGACAGTAAAATCAGGGAGTATTTGACTCTGGACTCGCGTTAATTTCGCACCTTGATACAGTGGAACCCCGATTTAACGCGAAATTGGATATAGCGCCATGAGTCGTTGGACCCCCTTTTTTGCTCTTACATAGCCACGTATATATAACCCCGATTTAGTGTGCCCCCGCTTTTTTCGCGATGACATTTCATGGACCCCAACCCTCTCGTCATAACTTATAACGGGGCTACACTGTATATGATAGCGTGATATATGAATGATAGCGGTGACAATAAAAATGACAATGGGCATGGTGACGATGATGATGGTGATGATGATGATGATGATGATGATGTCAATGATGATGATGTTGAGGATGACGATGACGACGAAGTTGCTGGAATCTGTTAGTAACGTGATGCTCTCTTGTTTTGCAGCTGATCAGCGACAATCTTCTCCAGCAGACGGCAGCGACCATGAGTGACGTGAAGTAAGTTTGTGTCATCGAGACGACCTCTGAGTTGACCTCTGTGTTGACCTCTGTATTGATCTCTATGTTCACCTCTGTGTGTTGAGCTCTGAGTTGACCTTTACGTTGACCTCCAAGTTGACCTATGTTAACCGTCAGCAGTAGTTAATCTTGTGACTCAGGTCACAGCCAAATGTCTTACTAACTAGGATTTCTGACACCAACATCGAATTTCTTGCGTGTAGCTAACGATATATTTGAAGTTCAACCAATTCAACGAATTATTAATTACTGGTGTTGTATTGCATTGTGTGGTATTGTATAGTATTATATTATAGTGTATATTATTGTGTTATGCTGTGTTGTGTTGATGTTGTATTGTTGAGTTGTGTTATGGGCTGTATATGTTTTTATCAAGCATTACAGGATTTACCATGAGTTTTTTCTTCTACTTCTCCGTCTTCTTCTTCTGCCTCTTCTTCTCATTCTTCTTCTTCTCCTCCTCCTTCTCCTACTCCTTCTTCTGAACCTCCTCCTTCTTCTTCTCCTCCTTCTCCTCCTCCTTCTGAACCTCCTTCTTCTTCTCTTCCTTCTTCTTCTCATCGTCACTGCAACAGGACGACACCGAAGGAGGAGGTGGAAGCGAAGTACGTTAGAGTGGTCTCCGCCTCCATCCTCGGCCTGCGCATGCTCCTTCTAGACCTGCCCGCCGCCGAGCGAGAAAAGATCGGCGACAGTCTAACCCCGCTGCTAGCCGACACCAAGTTCTGGGCGTTCGGCAAACACAAGAACGCGGCGGTGAGTTTATATTATTTATGTTGTTATATTATATTATTTATATGTTATTTTATACTATACTATGTTATATAATGTTACAATATCTTCAAGGGAACAGAAAAAAACCTCAGCATTGGTCCGACCCGGTCTACGTACATGCAGGTGGCGCCACTGTGCCTTAGACCGACGCCCACTTGTTTCTCTCCCAGGTGCGCGCGGCGATCTACGCCCTGCTGTCGATGCTCTGTGAGGTGCTGCCCTCTGTTGCCCGTGCGCACGCCGCCAAGCTCTGCCCCCTGGTGTTGGGAAGCCTCGACGAGAGCGAGCCGGGCGTCAGCGCCCCCTGCTGGGATGCCGTCCTCCACGTTGTCGACGTCGTTCAGGTATGAGATTCCGGCGCCACCTAGTGTGAGAAAACCGCATGCGCGAGGGCGCCACCGTGCGTACGACGTCACTTTTGAAGGTCGGCTCTCCTTCGTACTTGCGAGTCGGTGTCTATAGCGCCACCTAGTGGTCGTATGCATTCATCGTCATTTTTATTCGACTGAAGCTTTAGAAATTTTAGACTCGGTACACGAATGGTAGCAATGCACACGTTATTTAGGTCGAATTGGTCGAATCAGTATATATAAATTCCAACTAGGAATAGATATTCCCGTTACTATGTAGACAAGGTTAAAGGTAACCACTCCGGGCAGTTGTGACGATCGCCAACCAGGGTTAGACGTTACCGTTGCTATGTAGACAAGGTCAAAGGTCACCACTCCGGGCAGTTGCGACGACCGCCAACCAGGGTTAGACGTTACCGTTACTATGTAGACAAGGTCAAAGGTCACCACTCCGGGCAGTTGCGACGACCGCCAACCAGTGTTAGACGTTACCGTTGCTATGTACACAAGGTCAAAGGTCACAGCTGCGGGCAGTCGGTGTGAACCGGGGTTGCACTGTTTTTAACCGTCGTCTCTATCTCTATCTCCGTCCGTCGCGCAGGACTGCTGGAGCCAAGTGAACGTCCGGAAGGCCGTGCTGCCGAAGCTGTGGACGGTGCTGCGCTCTGGTGCCGGCGGCAATGCGGCCGACGTCTTTCCGAGTCTCCTGCCGTTCCTCAGCCGTTTGCCACCAGAGGTCCTCGGCGAAGGGCTGTGGTTCTACGAGAAGTGGTTCGACAGCATGGTGGAATGGTAGGAGGCATATATTATACCGCAATGTATGGTTAAGTAATAGGGGGCACGGTAGCACTGTAATCCCTTGTTGAATGGTAAGGAGGTGTTATTGGACATTAATGCAGAGATGCCAACCACTATGATTTATCCGTATTTTAAAGAATTTATATTCTTTTTGCACCACTACGACCAGTTTGTATCAAACTTTTTTTTTTTTCAATTATTGACATTTTTTCTCAATTTATTGTCATTTTTGACCCTCAGAATGCAGGAAATTGCATCTCAGAATCAAGAAATTTTCCGGGGGGCATGCCGGACCCCCGTAGCAAACTCAGGTCACTACGTGACCCTCGAACTACTAATTTGATAGCCAGAAACTACAGATTGCGTCAAATATGTGTTGGCATCTCTGTTAATGTATGGTGTAATAGTACGGGGTGCCACTGCAGTAGTTTATCTATAAGGCAGTCATCTTCCACGCTCGTACGCGTCGTTCAATACGCCATGTTGCGACGCTTTAAGCACCACCTGGTGGCACATTAACAATAATTATCGACGCCAGATTTCATTTCGCTGCAATCTCTTTAAGGATACTCTCCACGTTGTGCATGAAATTTCATCGATTTTTCGTTTTCAACTTTATTCGATGGCTAACACTATGTGCCACCTGTGTACATGCTAATTTCTCCATATAACGGTACATGTGAACTGTCAGAGCGTTTTTGCTTGCCTGCGTACATGTGTAGTAAGCAGCGGCTGACGTCATTATGACGTCAGAGACATGATACAACCACGATATTCACTAAGCCGATATCATTAAGCGTCAACCCTGCTACAGCTGTCATTACATGTATTCATGTACATTCATGTACATCTGCTAGTGATCCAACAAGTATCCCACGCCCCGAATAGTTCTAACACCTCGCAAGATAGTGCGGTACATCGCGCACGTTTGTTGACATATTAGCTTTGTGACGTCAGGATGAGCGGAGTTCGCGCGTTCTGCGATGGTAACCTAGTAATTTCTCAGAATTTCTCAAGGTGCATGGAACATTTTACCAATTTAGTGGTGTCAGTTAGTCATGGATATGTCACAGTAAGTACTAACAATAGATATATCACATACGTTCACCCATTTTGCACACAGGCGGT